CAAGTCGCAGGAAGCCAAAAAAATGATCGGTCTGAATAGGGTTAAAGATTTTTTGTTATTAATTATTATTATGAAGTCGAGTAAAATTTTGACGAACTTTAATTGTTGATAAGAGGCGTCACAACCTTTTCTCTGAACTTGAAAATGGCAAGATTACAAGGACGCCCTCACTCTTTCTACCTTCTTCTATATATATATTTTTTCTTCGATAACCCTTTGCCACTTTTATTTCCTCGTGAAAAATGACTTTAACCCTGTTCAGACCGGGCTTTGTTTTGCTTCCTGCGACCGGGAGGCCCTCCAGGGTCCTCCTCTATAATCAGTTCAGAACCGCTTGATGCTACGGCCACCAAAATTACACACATAGATTAGTTGAATTACTCTCAGGTCTGAAATACATATTAAAACCATTTCATGTGCAGGTCCCTCCCCGACAACGAAATTGAACGGCTTCCACCTGACATATTCCCACACTGTAAAATGAAAAGAGCCAAATCGACCCCAAAGGCCAAATCGGCCCCAATTTATCGAGGGCCGATTTGGAACATGCTGGGCCGTTTTGGACAGAAAGAGTCAAAACAGTTCTAGATGGTACCAATTCGGCCCATCTAATTTCTGAATCGGCTACACTAAAAGCTACTTTGGCACTTCCTCTCAATTTGGCCCTTCCGATAGCCAAATTAAAATTCCGATTTGGCCCCAACAAGGTCTACTCGAAGCGACCGCCTTTTGCCGTCAAAAGGGGCGCAAGGAGACCGCGGTGTTCGGTTGAAGTAACCATACGTCTGACACAATCCAAAGTACGGTCCGTTTAGTCGAGTAAGGAACTAAGATAACTTTAACGTAGACCTGAAACCGTGACGACAGTCAGAGACTGTAAGGTAAATCATGGTTTCGAGCGAACCTTTGCCTCGAGCGAAGGTGCAAATCGGATACAAAACTACAATCACGCTCCCGAATGTTCTGCACGTGATTTCAACATCGATAACATTACATGATGCGTCACGCAAACTAAACGCTGGGAGGGCAACAAAGACCCAGCCATCATGTACATATATTTTCTGATTCATAAGTTAAAGGTTTTTCAAATTTCGAACGCCTGCCACGCAGGCTAAAAATGACACGACATGTAAACAATCGAAAGCATTTTTGGAAACAATACACAACTGGTCAGCGGGCTTTCCTTATGCACATGCTCTTTGGTGTTGTCCTTTTGGCGTCCATTTTGAAAGTACTGCAACGGTTGCGAACATGCCAGTTTCTTTGGGGATCAGGAGTCTTGCATTATACTTCTCGACAGCATCAAAGGACATTCAAGGTGTTGTTACTAATTATTTTCGAACTATGAGCCGTCGTTGATCCATCACTTCGCTCTTGAAGTTCGTCGTGAAGAATCGGAGACAGAAGCCTCGTGAGGCGCAACGGTTTTCAAGATGAACTGCACAAATATAACAAACGCTCTCCAAGAATCAAGACTTTGCTGGAAAAAGCCGATAGTAAGACCAGGTAAGCCGCCCTGATTCGCTCTCTTTCTACCAAATGCAAAAGACTGAGCTATTTTAACCACGTTTGATGAAACAGAATTCAGGTTACTCAAGTCCACCTTGTCGGAAGGCTTTGAAGAACGGGTCATTAGATGTTTTTAACACATCTCTATCAGTCTTTTTATTCAATCGGCAACTGACGAGATCCACAAGATTAGGATCGAAACCGCGGTCTTGCCTGACCATTCACAGAAAATGTCAGAAAACATTATAACGTCAGATGGGCTACTAAGTGCCCCTGGCACAAGCAATGCCTTTGAGAATGAGGATAAGATGGAAGTCTCATACGACATCGCTAACGAGGATGATCTGCTGCTCGGCAAGTCCGATGACGAAGAACAAATCCCTCCGTATCAAGTGCCTAGAAAACCTAAACAGCCTAAACAGCAACGCCAAAGCCGCGACAGGCGCCCTCAAAGGAGTACCAGCGAACCAAGGACAGAGCAGTACCGAAAACGTCGCCGTCAGTACAGCCCATCCACAGAGAACCGAAAACGGAGCCGTAGCCTATCCGCGGAGGACAAGATTACCCAAGCTGAAGGTGCGATAAAAGCTTTAAAAAGGCACACGGACAAGGGAACCTGCCCAGAAACCCTACAATATAGGGCGAGGGCTAAAATAACAGCGGACGAGGACTTCAAGAGAGAGATAAAACAAATCCGCAAGAACGCGGAGCAAGAAACACTCAATGCGATTATACGATTCCATCAACGAGAAATCGGCCGTTTTAAGGCCGAAGCCAAGAAAGGAAAGCGAGCCACACCGGCTATAGCACTGAACACTAAGAACTGTAGTACGATCGAACCAGCGCGCGCAGCGCAAGCTGAAAACAATGTAACGATCGAATCAGTAAAACAAATTGCTGTTAACCTCCAGGCACAAATCGCCCAGTTCGGCAATATGATGCAACAACTAGGAGCCATTGAAAATAAAAAGTTCAAAAGTACACATGTGTATTCTCTGACTCCCACCACAAACATGGGGCCAAAAACAAATTTTAAAAGCCAAACGGCTAGCAACCAATAAGCGCAAAGAGCGCAGAAAGGTCAGACGCCAGAAACATTCAACTATCACTATAGAGGCGAACAAAAAACACATAAAAAACCTCTCAAACAAAGAACTTACAAATGACCAGATTAATTTACTGGCAAAAGGGCTTAAATTCATTCCAACACCCGTTGCAAAACAAACACAAATCAGGCAACAACTCTTGCGTGACTTTGATCAGTTTGCAAGAAGAATGCGTCTCATGTACATATTTCGAGGGGAAAACAACGAACCCCATCCTTACCATGTCAAATCTGCATGGGAACCACCAATACAACGATCAGTAGCCCTTGAAAGTTACCTAGAAGAGGTTAAGAGCGACCTTGCAGAAATAGAAATAACAAAGCCAAAAAATAATCTGCCTCCGGCCGAACGTGAGGCTCTGAGAGCCCTAAAACGTGACACTGAAATAAACCTTAAAAAGGCCGATAAAGGAACAACAACCGTAGTCATGAACACACAAGACAAAATTAAAGAAGGCCAAATTCTACTAGACAACAAAGACAACTACAGGCCTCTTGCATCACCCATGGTCACTGAGACAAACCATAAAGTTAAACAACTTATTACAGACCTCCACAACGGGGATCACATAGACGACATGACTAAAAAATGGCTTTGTCAAACACCAAATCCGCCTCGAATTCCAGAATTTTACACCCTCACTAAGATACACAAGCCGTCCCCGGTCGGCAGACCGATAGTATCAGGGTGTGATGGCCCAACAGAGAAATTATCATCATTTGTCGACAAACTCCTTCAGCCGATAGCACAACAACAAAAGTCTTATCTTAAAGATACTACCGACTTCGTCAATTTCATAGAAAATACGAAAGTCCCAGTGGACGTCATGCTTGTTTCAATGGACGTCACGAGCTTGTATACAAATATACCGCAAGAGGAGGGAATAGACACGGTATGCAGAGCATACGAAATATTCTATAGAAACGAACCTCCTATCCCTACACAACTACTAAAACGAGCGCTCAGGCTAATTCTCCAAGAAAATTCTTTCCAGTTTAATGGAAAAAACTACCTTCAAACACATGGTACGGCCATGGGCACGAAAATGGCGATCGCCTTTTCTAATATATTCATGAACAAGGTAGAGACGGAAATCCTTAGCCGAAGCCTTTTCAAACCGCTCGTTTGGAAACGTTACATAGACGACATCTTCTCGCTCTGGACTACAAACAGAGCCAGAATAGAACATTTCATTGAACAAGCAAACAATCATCACCCTACGATCAAATTTACGGCTGAAATTTCCGATAAGGAAACAACATTCCTGGACACCTACATCTACAAAGGGGAAAGATTCGAAAGAGACGCAATCCTTGATGTGCGTACTCATTTCAAACCAACTGAGACATTTCAGTATACCTATTTTGCTTCCTGTCACCCGCAAGGAGTTAAAAAGGCTTCATTAAAGGGAAGCCCTCCGACTCCTCAGAACAAACTCTTCCGAACTAATATTCGAAGAGAAAATTACAAATTTCAAAGCGCATCTGCTACAGAGGGGTTACCCAGAGGATCTTATTAACACAACCCTCTCAGAGGTGAACTTCAAAGACAGGAAACTAGCCCTTCAACAGAAACCAAAGACAAACCAACGAATCTTGCCTTTTGTCACACAATACCAACCATCAGTGCCAAACCTAAAGCAAATTCTCATGAAAAACTGGCTTTTAATAGAACAACAACCATTACTGAGCGAAATCTACAAAAACCTCCCTTCGTATCTTATAAAAGAGGGCGGTCGCTCAAAGACATACTCGTGAGAGCCAAACTATAAAAAGGCTATTTTAAACACGCGCTGGGGAGTCGTGTAGGCCTGTCAACTCCATTTTACACTGAGCCAAACTATAGAAAGGCTATTTTAAACACGCGCTGGGGAGTCGTGTAGGCCTGTCAACCCCATTTTACACTGATTGTTATTACTAGACAGGCCCGTCCTCAGCAGTGATACATCACGTACACCGAGTTAATCACATTGAGCAATACACTGTACAATGCAGAAATATCAATTTTGCTAACAAATACACGACCTATGCCCCAAAAACCGGGCAATCAAAGAGGAACAACACTACACTAATGCAGGAAACTCTCTTCTTGCAAAACTATCACAGTATCTGCTCAAAATTTTGCATTTTAGCCTACACAAGAAACACAACTCATGCTGGGCTCGCAAGGATCTTCGATGTAAACACACAATTGGCCCCAAACATAAAGAGCCAATAGAAACACAGGATTTTCGATCCTTCGAACGAGTATAAAATGGTCAAGAAACACCCTTTTTGTGACTGATACCGAGAACACATCTCTATCAGTCTTTTTATTCAATCGGCAACTGACGAGATCCACAAGATTAGGATCGAAACCGCGGTCTTGCCTGACCATTCACAGAAAATGTCAGAAAACATTATAACGTCAGATGGGCTACTAAGTGCCCCTGGCACAAGCAATGCCTTTGAGAATGAGGATAAGATGGAAGTCTCATACGACATCGCTAACGAGGATGATCTGCTGCTCGGCAAGTCCGATGACGAAGAACAAATCCCTCCGTATCAAGTGCCTAGAAAACCTAAACAGCCTAAACAGCAACGCCAAAGCCGCGACAGGCGCCCTCAAAGGAGTACCAGCGAACCAAGGACAGAGCAGTACCGAAAACGTCGCCGTCAGTACAGCCCATCCACAGAGAACCGAAAACGGAGCCGTAGCCTATCCGCGGAGGACAAGATTACCCAAGCTGAAGGTGCGATAAAAGCTTTAAAAAGGCACACGGACAAGGGAACCTGCCCAGAAACCCTACAATATAGGGCGAGGGCTAAAATAACAGCGGACGAGGACTTCAAGAGAGAGATAAAACAAATCCGCAAGAACGCGGAGCAAGAAACACTCAATGCGATTATACGATTCCATCAACGAGAAATCGGCCGTTTTAAGGCCGAAGCCAAGAAAGGAAAGCGAGCCACACCGGCTATAGCACTGAACACTAAGAACTGTAGTACGATCGAACCAGCGCGCGCAGCGCAAGCTGAAAACAATGTAACGATCGAATCAGTAAAACAAATTGCTGTTAACCTCCAGGCACAAATCGCCCAGTTCGGCAATATGATGCAACAACTAGGAGCCATTGAAAATAAAGAAGTTCAAAAGTACACATGTGTATTCTCTGACTCCCACCACAAACATGGGGCCAAAAAACAAATTTTAAAAGCCAAACGGCTAGCAACCAATAAGCGCAAAGAGCGCAGAAAGGTCAGACGCCAGAAACATTCAACTATCACTATAGAGGCGAACAAAAAACACATAAAAAACCTCTCAAACAAAGAACTTACAAATGACCAGATTAATTTACTGGCAAAAGGGCTTAAATTCATTCCAACACCCGTTGCAAAACAAACACAAATCAGGCAACAACTCTTGCGTGACTTTGATCAGTTTGCAAGAAGAATGCGTCTCATGTACATATTTCGAGGGGAAAACAACGAACCCCATCCTTACCATGTCAAATCTGCATGGGAACCACCAATACAACGATCAGTAGCCCTTGAAAGTTACCTAGAAGAGGTTAAGAGCGACCTTGCAGAAATAGAAATAACAAAGCCAAAAATAATCTGCCTCCGGCCGAACGTGAGGCTCTGAGAGCCCTAAAACGTGACACTGAAATAAACCTTAAAAAGGCCGATAAAGGAACAACAACCGTAGTCATGAACACACAAGACAAAATTAAAGAAGGCCAAATTCTACTAGACAACAAAGACAACTACAGGCCTCTTGCATCACCCATGGTCACTGAGACAAACCATAAAGTTAAACAACTTATTACAGACCTCCACAACGGGGATCACATAGACGACATGACTAAAAAATGGCTTTGTCAAACACCAAATCCGCCTCGAATTCCAGAATTTTACACCCTCACTAAGATACACAAGCCGTCCCCGGTCGGCAGACCGATAGTATCAGGGTGTGATGGCCCAACAGAGAAATTATCATCATTTGTCGACAAACTCCTTCAGCCGATAGCACAACAACAAAAGTCTTATCTTAAAGATACTACCGACTTCGTCAATTTCATAGAAAATACGAAAGTCCCAGTGGACGTCATGCTTGTTTCAATGGACGTCACGAGCTTGTATACAAAATATACCGCAAGAGGAGGGAATAGACACGGTATGCAGAGCATACGAAATATTCTATAGAAACGAACCTCCTATCCCTACACAACTACTAAAACGAGCGCTCAGGCTAATTCTCCAAGAAAATTCTTTCCAGTTTAATGGAAAAACTACCTTCAAACACATGGTACGGCCATGGGCACGAAAATGGCGGTCGCCTTTTCTAATATATTCATGAACAAGGTAGAGACGGAAATCCTTAGCCGAAGCCTTTTCAAACCGCTCGTTTGGAAACGTTACATAGACGACATCTTCTCGCTCTGGACTACAAACAGAGCCAGAATAGAACATTTCATTGAACAAGCAAACAATCATCACCCTACGATCAAATTTACGGCTGAAATTTCCGATAAGGAAACAACATTCCTGGACACCTACATCTACAAAGGGAAAGATTCGAAAGAGACGCAATCCTTGATGTGCGTACTCATTTCAAACCAACTGAGACATTTCAGTATACCTATTTTGCTTCCTGTCACCCGCAAGGAGTTAAAAAGGCTTCATTAAAGGGGAAGCCCTCCGACTCCTCAGAACAAACTCTTCCGAACTAATATTCGAAGAGAAAATTACAAATTTCAAAGCGCATCTGCTACAGAGGGGTTACCCAGAGGATCTTATTAACACAACCCTCTCAGAGGTGAACTTCAAAGACAGGAAACTAGCCCTTCAACAGAAACCAAAGACAAACCAACGAATCTTGCCTTTTGTCACACAATACCAACCATCAGTGCCAAACCTAAAGCAAATTCTCATGAAAAACTGGCATTTAATAGAACAACAACCATTACTGAGCGAAATCTACAAAAAACCGCCCCTCGTATCTTATAAAAGAGGGCGGTCGCTCAAAGACATACTCGTGAGAGCCAAACTATAGAAAGGCTATTTTAAACACGCGCTGGGGAGTCGTGTAGGCCTGTCAACCCCATTTTACACTGAGCCAAACTATAGAAAGGCTATTTTAAACACGCGCTGGGGAGTCGTGTAGGCCTGTCAACCCCATTTTACACTGATTGTTATTACTAGACAGGCCCCGTCCTCAGCAGTGATACATCACGTACACCGAGTTAATCACATTGAGCAATACACTGTACAATGCAGAAATATCAATTTTTGCTAACAAATACACGACCTATGCCCCAAAAACCGGGCAATCAAAGAGGAACAACACTACACTAATGCAGGAAACTCTCTTCTTGCAAAACTATCACAGTATCTGCTCAAAATTTTGCATTTTAGCCTACACAAGAAACACAACTCATGCTGGGCTCGCAAGGATCTTCGATGTAAACACACAATTGGCCCAAACATAAAGAGCCAATAGAAACACAGGATTTTCGATCCTTCGAACGAGTATAAAATGGTCAAGAAACACCCTTTTTGTGACTGATACCGAGAACACATCTCTATCAGTCTTTTTATTCAATCGGCAACTGACGAGATCCACAAGATTAGGATCGAAACCGCGGTCTTGCCTGACCATTCACAGAAAATGTCAGAAAACATTATAACGTCAGATGGGCTACTAAGTGCCCTGGCACAAGCAATGCCTTTGAGAATGAGGATAAGATGGAAGTCTCATACGACATCGCTAACGAGGATGATCTGCTGCTCGGCAAGTCCGATGACGAAGAACAAATCCCTCCGTATCAAGTGCCTAGAAAACCTAAACAGCCTAAACAGCAACGCCAAAGCCGCGACAGGCGCCCTCAAAGGAGTACCAGCGAACCAAGGACAGAGCAGTACCGAAAACGTCGCCGTCAGTACAGCCCATCCACAGAGAACCGAAAACGGAGCCGTAGCCTATCCGCGGAGGACAAGATTACCAAGCTGAAGGTGCGATAAAAGCTTTAAAAAGGCACACGGACAAGGGAACCTGCCCAGAAACCCTACAATATAGGGCGAGGGCTAAAATAACAGCGGACGAGGACTTCAAGAGAGAGATAAAACAAATCCGCAAGAACGCGGAGCAAGAAACACTCAATGCGATTATACGATTCCATCAACGAGAAATCGGCCGTTTTAAGGCCGAAGCCAAGAAAGGAAAGCGAGCCACACCGGCTATAGCACTGAACACTAAGAACTGTAGTACGATCGAACCAGCGCGCGCAGCGCAAGCTGAAAACAATGTAACGATCGAATCAGTAAAACAAATTGCTGTTAACCTCCAGGCACAAATCGCCCAGTTCGGCAATATGATGCAACAACTAGGAGCCATTGAAAATAAAGAAGTTCAAAAGTACACATGTGTATTCTCTGACTCCCACCACAAACATGGGGCCAAAAAACAAATTTTAAAAGCCAAACGGCTAGCAACCAATAAGCGCAAAGAGCGCAGAAAGGTCAGACGCCAGAAACATTCAACTATCACTATAGAGGCGAACAAAAACACATAAAAACCTCTCAAACAAAGAACTTACAAATGACCAGATTAATTTACTGGCAAAAGGGCTTAAATTCATTCCAACACCCGTTGCAAAACAAACACAAATCAGGCAACAACTCTTGCGTGACTTTGATCAGTTTGCAAGAAGAATGCGTCTCATGTACATATTTCGAGGGGAAAACAACGAACCCCATCCTTACCATGTCAAATCTGCATGGGAACCACCAATACAACGATCAGTAGCCCTTGAAAGTTACCTAGAAGAGGTTAAGAGCGACCTTGCAGAAATAGAAATAACAAAGCCAAAAAAATAATCTGCCTCCGGCCGAACGTGAGGCTCTGAGAGCCCTAAAACGTGACACTGAAATAAACCTTAAAAAGGCCGATAAAGGAACAACAACCGTAGTCATGAACACACAAGACAAAATTAAAGAAGGCCAAATTCTACTAGACAACAAAGACAACTACAAGCCTCTTGCATCACCCGTGGTCACTGAGACAAACCATAAAGTTAAACAACTTATTGCAGACCTCCACAACGGGGATCACATAGACGACATGACTAAAAATGGCTTTGTCAAACACCAAATCCGCCTCGAATTCCAGAATTTTACACCCTCACTAAGATACACAAGCCGTCCCCGGTCGGCAGACCGATAGTATCAGGGTGTGATGGCCCAACAGAGAAATTATCATCATTTGTCGACAAACTCCTTCAGCCGATAGCACAACAACAAAAGTCTTATCTTAAAGATACTACCGACTTCGTCAATTTCATAGAAAATACGAAAGTCCCAGTGGACGTCATGCTTGTTTCAATGGACGTCACGAGCTTGTATACAAATATACCGCAAGAGGAGGGAATAGACACGGTATGCAGAGCATACGAAATATTCTATAGAAACGAACCTCCTATCCCTACACAACTACTAAAACGAGCGCTCAGGCTAATTCTCCAAGAAAATTCTTTCCAGTTTAATGGAAAAAACTACCTTCAAACACATGGTACGGCCATGGGCACGAAAATGGCGATCGCCTTTTCTAATATATTCATGAACAAGGTAGAGACGGAAATCCTTAGCCGAAGCCTTTTCAAACCGCTCGTTTGGAAACGTTACATAGACGACATCTTCTCGCTCTGGACTACAAACAGAGCCAGAATAGAACATTTCATTGAACAAGCAAACAATCATCACCCTACGATCAAATTTACGGCTGAAATTTCCGATAAGGAAACAACATTCCTGGACACCTACATCTACAAAGGGAAAGATTCGAAAGAGACGCAATCCTTGATGTGCGTACTCATTTCAAACCAACTGAGACATTTCAGTATACCTATTTTGCTTCCTGTCACCCGCAAGGAGTTAAAAAGGCTTCATTAAAGGGAAGCCCTCCGACTCCTCAGAACAAACTCTTCCGAACTAATATTCGAAGAGAAAATTACAAATTTCAAAGCGCATCTGCTACAGAGGGGTTACCCAGAGGATCTTATTAACACAACCCTCTCAGAGGTGAACTTCAAAGACAGGAAACTAGCCCTTCAACAGAAACCAAAGACAAACCAACGAATCTTGCCTTTTGTCACACAATACCAACCATCAGTGCCAAACCTAAAGCAAATTCTCATGAAAAACTGGCATTTAATAGAACAACAACCATTACTGAGCGAAATCTACAAAAAACCACCCCTCGTATCTTATAAAAGAGGGCGGTCGCTCAAAGACATACTCGTGAGAGCCAAACTATAGAAAGGCTATTTTAAACACGCGCTGGGGAGTCGTGTAGGCCTGTCAACCCCATTTTACACTGAGCCAAACTATAGAAAGGCTATTTTAAACACGCGCTGGGGAGTCGTGTAGGCCTGTCAACCCCATTTTACACTGATTGTTATTACTAGACAGGCCCCGTCCTCAGCAGTGATACATCACGTACACCGAGTTAATCACATTGAGCAATACACTGTACAATGCAGAAATATCAATTTTTGCTAACAAATACACGACCTATGCCCCAAAAACCGGGCAATCAAAGAGGAACAACACTACACTAATGCAGGAAACTCTCTTCTTGCAAAACTATCACAGTATCTGCTCAAAATTTTGCATTTTAGCCTACACAAGAAACACAACTCATGCTGGGCTCGCAAGGATCTTCGATGTAAACACACAATTGGCCCAAACATAAAGAGCCAATAGAAACACAGGATTTTCGATCCTTCGAACGAGTATAAAATGGTCAAGAAACACCCTTTTTGTGACTGATACCGAGAACACATCTCTATCAGTCTTTTTATTCAATCGGCAACTGACGAGATCCACAAGATTAGGATCGAAACCGCGGTCTTGCCTGACCATTCACAGAAAATGTCAGAAAACATTATAACGTCAGATGGGCTACTAAGTGCCCCTGGCACAAGCAATGCCTTTGAGAATGAGGATAAGATGGAAGTCTCATACGACATCGCTAACGAGGATGATCTGCTGCTCGGCAAGTCCGATGACGAAGAACAAATCCCTCCGTATCAAGTGCCTAGAAAACCTAAACAGCCTAAACAGCAACGCCAAAGCCGCGACAGGCGCCCTCAAAGGAGTACCAGCGAACCAAGGACAGAGCAGTACCGAAAACGTCGCCGTCAGTACAGCCCATCCACAGAGAACCGAAAACGGAGCCGTAGCCTATCCGCGGAGGACAAGATTACCCAAGCTGAAGGTGCGATAAAAGCTTTAAAAGGCACACGGACAAGGAACCTGCCCAGAAACCCTACAATATAGGGCGAGGGCTAAAATAACAGCGGACGAGGACTTCAAGAGAGAGATAAAACAAATCCGCAAGAACGCGGAGCAAGAAACACTCAATGCGATTATACGATTCCATCAACGAGAAATCGGCCGTTTTAAGGCCGAAGCCAAGAAAGGAAAGCGAGCCACACCGGCTATAGCACTGAACACTAAGAACTGTAGTACGATCGAACCAGCGCGCGCAGCGCAAGCTGAAAAACAATGTAACGATCGAATCAGTAAAACAAATTGCTGTTAACCTCCAGGCACAAAGCCCAGTTCGGCAATATGATGCAACAACTAGGAGCCATTGAAAATAAAGAAGTTCAAAAGTACACATGCGTATTCTCTGACTCCCACCACAAACATGGGGCCAAAAAACAAATTTTAAAAGCCAAACGGCTAGCAACCAATAAGCGCAAAAAGAGCGCAGAAAGGTCAGACGCCAGAAACATTCAACTATCACTATAGAGGCGAACAAAAAACACATAAAAAACCTCTCAAACAAAAGAACTTACAAATGACCAGATTAATTTACTGGCAAAAGGGCTTAAATTCATTCCAACACCCGTTGCAAAACAAACACAAATCAGGCAACAACTCTTGCGTGACTTTGATCAGTTTGCAAGAAGAATGCGTCTCATGTACATATTTCGAGGGAAAACAACGAACCCCATCCTTACCATGTCAAATCTGCATGGGAACCACCAATACAACGATCAGTAGCCCTTGAAAGTTACCTAGAAGAGGTTAAGAGCGACCTTGCAGAAATAGAAATAACAAAGCCAAAAAATAATCTGCCTCCGGCCGAACGTGAGGCTCTGAGAGCCCTAAAACGTGACACTGAAATAAACCTTAAAAAGGCCGATAAAGGAACAACAACCGTAGTCATGAACACACAAGACAAAATTAAAGAAGGCCAAATTCTACTAGACAACAAAAGACAACTACAGGCCTCTTGCATCACCCATGGTCACTGAGACAAACCATAAAGTTAAACAACTTATTACAGACCTCCACAACGGGGATCACATAGACGACATGACTAAAAAATGGCTTTGTCAAACACCAAATCCGCCTCGAATTCCAGAATTTTACACCCTCACTAAGATACACAAGCCGTCCCCGGTCGGCAGACCGATAGTATCAGGGTGTGATGGCCCAACAGAGAAATTATCATCATTTGTCGACAAACTCCTTCAGCCGATAGCACAACAACAAAAGTCTTATCTTAAAGATACTACCGACTTCGTCAATTTCATAGAAAATACGAAAGTCCCAGTGGACGTCATGCTTGTTTCAATGGACGTTACGAGCTTGTATACAAATATACCGCAAGAGGAGGGAATAGACACGGTATGCAGAGCATACGAAATATTCTATAGAAACGAACCTCCTATCCCTACACAACTACTAAAACGAGCGCTCAGGCTAATTCTCCAAGAAAATTCTTTCCAGTTTAATGGAAAAAACTACCTTCAAACACATGGTACGGCCATGGGCACGAAAATGGCGGTCGCCTTTTCTAATATATTCATGAACAAGGTAGAGACGGAAATCCTTAGCCGAAGCCTTTTCAAACCGCTCGTTTGGAAACGTTACATAGACGACATCTTCTCGCTCTGGACTACAAACAGAGCCAGAATAGAACATTTCATTGAACAAGCAAACAATCATCACCCTACGATCAAATTTACGGCTGAAATTTCCGATAAGGAAACAACATTCCTGGACACCTACATCTACAAAGGGGAAAGATTCGAAAGAGACGCAATCCTTGATGTGCGTACTCATTTCAAACCAACTGAGACATTTCAGTATACCTATTTTGCTTCCTGTCACCCGCAAGGAGTTAAAAAAGGCTTCATTAAAGGGGAAGCCCTCCGACTCCTCAGAACAAACTCTTCCGAACTAATATTCGAAGAGAAAATTACAAATTTCAAAGCGCATCTGCTACAGAGGGGTTACCCAGAGGATCTTATTAACACAACCCTCTCAGAGGTGAACTTCAAAGACAGGAAACTAGCCCTTCAACAGAAACCAAAGACAAACCAACGAATCTTGCCTTTTGTCACACAATACCAACCATCAGTGCCAAACCTAAAGCAAATTCTCATGAAAAACTGGCATTTAATAGAACAACAACCATTACTGAGCGAAATCTACAAAAAACCGCCCCTCGTATCTTATAAAAGAGGGCGGTCGCTCAAAGACATACTCGTGAGAGCCAAACTATAGAAAGGCTATTTTAAACACGCGCTGGGGAGTCGTGTAGGCCTGTCAACCCCATTTTACACTGAGCCAAACTATAGAAAGGCTATTTTAAACACGCGCTGGGGAGTCGTGTAGGCCTGTCAACCCCATTTTACACTGATTCTTTAGGTAGAGCTAACAAACATAGGCTGCACTTTAGGTGGCACACCCATGGGTGCAGTGTAACCCAGTGATTCTTTAGGTAGAGCTAACAAACATAGGCTGCATTTTAGGTGGCACACCCATGGGTGCAGTGTAACCAAGTGATTCTTTAGGTAGAGCTAACAAACATAGGCTGCACTTTAGGTGGCACCCCCATGGGTGCAGTGTAACCAAGTGATTCTTTAGGTAGAGCTAACAAACATAGGCTGCACTTTAGGTGGCACACCCATGGGTGCAGTGTAGCCCAGTGATTCTTTAGGCAGAGCTTACAAACATAGACTATACAGGTGTACATCAGATAGTAACAAGTTTTCCAGTTAAAACTTTGTCATAAAGTGCTACACCATGGCACTTAGACTATTTCATTATCGCGCTTGTTTTGAGGCACAATTGATAGTCAGGAGAAGTCGTATTGTCTAAAACCATAGCAAAAGACAAATTTACACACATCACAGCGTTAAGGTAAGGTAATACACGGTATTTCCTTCAGGTACATTTACATTTTCTGTTAGGTTATAAGCGATTAAATCGCATGCAGTGACAAACAAAACGCGAAGCCGTCAGATATTCTAGAACCGTGTTATTTACAGTGCTGTGCATTATTATTGCTTAACTAGCTAACTACGCGCTGATGGAAATAAGTTTCCGCCGCTTTAAATTTTGAAACAATTCACTGGTATACTACTGTATAGTCATAACTGGAGCGGAAAGTTAGCAAGCGAGCAGGGCGATTCTGCTGTGGTTTCTGTAATGTAGAAGATATTACGGCAATGAAGCTCCTGAGGTCCGTTCTGGAAATTACAACTACGTGTAGTATGAAATGTATTCTGCGTGCAGACGTCTCCTTTTCCAGGTTAGGTTAAATAAACCGTACCAAAGGTTTGTTTGACAAAGCTCCCGCGAGACGGTTTCTTGGTGATTTTATTAATTTTTCTGATCCATTTTTTTTTTCAGCTCTATTTTCCCGGCTTTTGCGATACAAACTGAATTCATTTTTAGTTGTGATGGCATTACACTGCTTAATCATGAAGGCATTGGAAGAAACTGAATATATTGCGCTTCGCGATTTCGCAAAATCGCTGCGGGAATTGAAAAATATTTTCTTCCAAAAAAGCGTTTTCATGCTTCTTTCTCTAGTCAATTATCTCGTTTGTCTCGTTTTCTAAAGGTCCTTGAGAACAGAATAAGACAATATTTTATTACCTACAACCTAAAAACCTGATTTTTGACCAGATCGAAACAAAACTGACCTCTGAAATGGAAGAAGAAAAGCCTTTTTAAATATTTTTGCCGGCTTCGGCCCGCCGACGCGATTGTGTCTGGTTTGCTTTCATATGATGACATTTTCCTGACAGAAGGGTGTCGGGAAAAACACCTCGCGCTGATCATACGTGACCAAATCCGCCGCGCCTAAGCTAATTAAGAAAAGTCTCCGAAAGCTCCATACAATTCCTTATAACAAAATTATAAGGAATTGTATGGAGCTCTCAAGATACTTACAGTGCAAGCCCTGTGTGTCTTCTCATGTTATGCATAAAATTAGGAAATAGAATTTTAGGTTGCAGAATTCTGCAGGTGTGATTGAGGTAAGAGGGTCTGTCAGTCAATTTGCTCCCACAATTACTCAGAACTGTGTGTAAATAAACTTGTTGCTCCAAGTCAACCAGTTTTAATTTAATAACATTTCTCCTATGGCAGAAATAGAAAGGCGGGCATCCTTTGGGTAGTGAACAAGGTTCTGCGGCATTGATCGGAGTGCTAAGAGGACCTTGGGAGGAATTTATCACTATTGTAGAGGTAGGTGTTTTGGGAATACAATGTTTTTCCTGATATTGTGATTCAAAATACCACAGGAGTACTACAAACTCAACTGTACATTGAACCCTAAATGCTTGGGAAGCCCAGATACAAGTGGAAGTCAGACAAAATTGAGATGGAATTTAGCTTTTGTTATGAAGGTATCCCTTGGGGGCCATTCCCGTCACCAGACTACACCAAATCTCACAGAATAATAATGGCTACATTATAATACTTAATAAATTTTGACTTACAGCTGCAAAATTTCTTGACTGGTGAGAAATACATGTACTAAAATAATCTTCTTGTATCAGGACATGCACACTGTAATTACCTCCTCAATGATGTGTGAATGTATTAGACATAATTATGCTGTCATTCTTTTTCCCATAACATAAAGGAAGCATAATTTCAACAAACTATAATTTATACAGTATACCATACATGCATACCTGAAAACTGGAAAGAAGTAATTAAACCAACATTTTTTTGACAATAGTATTGTTGTGACCATACTGACTTTTTATGTGTATGCACTGTGTGTTGTGTTTTGATTATTGTTTTTATCATTTCTAAAATTACAACATTTGTTTTTATTGCAGAGGGATGCAGATGTTGACAGGAAAATTCAGGATTTTGTTGTGACAAAGGGAGGCATTATTTGTCAGTTTTCTCAGAAGAAAATTGATGCAGTGATAATATTGCTTGGGTGTTTTTATGTATTTAATGTATCATACACCCAATGCAAAGCCATCTTGACTTTTCTAGATCAGGCATTGCTTGAAAGTGGACTGGGGTAGACACTTGTCAATGTTTCCTCCCTTTTTTAATGACTTGGCAAATACCTCAGTTCTTGCTGAATGTTAATTCAGGACAACCTCGCAAGGTGTAGCCAAATTGTCAAAATTTTTTTTTCATGGAAGTTTTCTTTCACTCTTATAGACCAAGATTTGGCAAGATTTTTTTTAAACATAATATCTGTGGAGTAAAATATAGTTTAAAACATTTGCCAAGTCATTAAGGGCTGGGCTGGTTTAGTAGTAAGATACAGAGTCGGAACTGTAATCAAAAGCATAGAGTGTTGATCTAGTGAAAACTATAAAGCATGGGAACAAGAATTTTGACTGGTAAGTGGTTTATCCTTCGACGATTACACCACTGCTTAATCTGGTTTTCTACATCATAAGCAGAATCTGAAGAGTAGAAAGTTGTGATGACTCCAATTCCATCAAGCTTCTAGTTATCACTTCCCTTGCAACTCTGATTTTTGATTTTCACTAGGTGATGAGTGCTCTGACTATGACCCTGACTTTGTCACGAGTGAAAACCACCCTTCAAAAGGATTAGGTCAAGTCATTAAAGGCTCGCACTAGCAAGGTAGACAGAGTCGGAGTCGTAATCAGAAGCTTGAGAATTGATATAGCTAAAGCATCTTAGTTCATTATTGCTCTTAAAACTCTTTTGCTTCAATCTAATGTACATTGTCGGAATTGTTAGCAGGAGAACTTGACCAACTCTGACAATCTTTTATTTTTTTTTTGTCAAAAGGCGAGTTATAAAAGAAACCTTAATTGACTCCAATTCTGGTGAGCTTTAATTAATGACACCCTTTACAAGTCCAATTTTTGATTTTCACTACAGGTTTTAAGTGTTCCTATGATGCTGATTATGATTTTGACTTTGTCTTTTGTGAAAACCGTTTTAAGAAGTAGTTACTTTGATCGCACCGAAGACAAGTGTCTCTCTTGGCCAATTTAATTCCTCCAATAATTCTAAATGTTCAATCTAGAAAAGTTGAGATTAACCGAAGATAATGTTACATAAATAGGTTGGAATACGCGTTGTTATGATGTACACAGATCACAGTAACTTATTCAGAACTGAATAAATGTTTGAAATAAGCCTTAGTTTGGTTTCATTATTTATCAATACCGTAATTAAGGGAAAAAATCTGTAGGCCCCCACCCAAATTAAAAAAACCATAATGGCCCAATATGGGGCTGAATCGGCTACTTTTGGAGGGGTAGTTTTTAAGAGGGCCAAAATTTGAGGGGGCTGTTTTGGCTACTGGAAAATCCAAAATGGCCCTCGTGTTTTCCATATTGACCCTTTACATGGTCTAATTTGGCCCCGATGCAAGGGTCAATTTAGCCCCAAATTTTGGTACCAAAACAGCCCCATCTCAGTGGGGCTGAATTGGCCCCAAAAACAGTACCATTCTGGACTCACCCGTTTCGGCCCCATTTTTGGGGCCAAATTGGCTCTTTTCATTTTACAGTGCAGGACACAATTTTAACCTGTTTTATTTGTAATTAAAAAGTTCAAGTTTTTATTTCTTTGTTGTTAAGGAAAATGACTTATATTTACACACTACGTGAGTACTACGAGTTACATATTCCCATTTAGCAAAGGATGTAAACGGGTAGCGAGCCTAAGCAACGAGAACGCTGCCATCCTGGCCGCCATGAATAAGAACCGGAAGTTTGTTTGTTTGTTTGTTTGTTGTTGTTTTTTTTTTTTTTGTATTTTTACTCTTGTAGGGTGAAGTTATTGAGTCAGACCGCTTAAAGAGAGAACTTATTAACTTCCAGCTGTTATGTTTGACGTGCAGAACGTCAACGTATTCGTTGCTTAAGCTCAGCTATATAACTACATACGAGTAACATACCACAAACATACGAGCCTATACGGGTACTGGATAGCATACAAGAAAGACAAGGATACATTCAAGTTATGCAAAGCTCTCGAGAGGAGTACGCGTGAAATGAAAGATCCCACAACTGACTTGATTTTTCTTAGAAAAACCTTTTTGAAACCATTCTCCAGAGTGTTTTGTTTTGTTTTTTGTAGACGATTGAAACCGGTTTTAGCCTGCCCGGATTCGTGTGGATAGGGCCGAAAAGTATTACGTACTTTTGCAAGTACAGTAACTTGTGCGAATGGGAACCTCTTTTCACAATTTCGGCGCTGCAACG